AAACATCTCTAGGTTACTTATTATATTTACTTATGTGTATGATTGTAAACATTTTTATATTGTATTGTTTGGAGAATAATGACAAGGGGAAAAGGCTGAGCATGTTCAATGTGGACACAAGGAGTTTTGTTTACCTGGAGCCTGGTTTCTACTTCAGCAATGATTTCAAAGTGTGGTACTAGGTCAGCAGATTCAGCATCACCTGTGATCTTGGTAGAGAGGCAGATTTTGAGTCCCTTCTGAGTCCTGATGACTGAAGAAATTGGGAGACAAGCTCAGCAATCTGTGTTGTAACAGGTTCCACAGGTGATTTTATTGAAGGCTGAAGTTTGAAAAACATTGTTCCAAGAAGTCCATGAATTCTATATCTTATCCCAATAGAAATGTTTGTCAAGATAGGAGCATAGATGCACTTTTAACACTCATTAAATTGATTAATAGCACCTACATATACAGACGTATGGTATGTGGGCTTCTGTTTCTACTTTTGTTCTAAGTATTGGATTTGATTGTCTTTAAAATTACCCTCTCAGTTTATGACTCTATGGCTGCTATAGGGATGCTTAGTCTGCATTCCCTATAGACTGTTTTAGGCTACTGTGGCTTTGGTATGTAATAGCTGTAAAATGCTGTTTGCCTTTTGCTCTCTACACTATGAATTTCATTTTTCTTATCCTCTCTTTTTCTTCTGTTTTCTCTCCTCTCCTCAACTCCTCTTCTATTTACAAAAGCTTTGTTTCTATTTTTTCCTTTCCTTCTTTCTTTTCCCCTGCCCCTCTCCCTAGTTCCCCTTCCCCTTTGAAGATTTTTTTTTCCTATTTCACAAATATCTATTATACAGTTTGGTCCTCATTTACACTTTCAGTTTCTCACACCAGAGAAAGAATGCAGTATTTACACATGTGTGTCATTTGTTTCACTTAAAATAAGGTCTCAAGGTGCATCCATTTAGCTATAAATGTCTCTAGTCATCTTTCTTTATGGCTGAGTAGTACTCCATTTTATATTTTTAAAAAAGCACACCTTCTTTATCCAATCACCAGTTGATGGGCATTTGGGCTGTTTCCAAGATTTAGCTATTACAAACTGCACTGCTATAACCATGGATGTATATATATCTCTGTGGTATGATGCTTTTAATTCTTTAGGGAAGATACCAAGAAAGGGAATAGCTGGGTCAAATGGAACCTCTAGTTTAAGTTTTTTGAGAAATCTCCACATTGATTTCGACCAGTCTACAGTCCCACTAACAGTGGAGAAAGGTTCCTTTCTCCCCACATCCCTGCCAGCATTTGTTGATTTCTTGATAGCAGCCATTCTTTCTGGAGTGAGGTAGAATCTCAGCATTGTTTTAATTTGCATCTCTTAAACGACCAGTGATGTTGTACATTTTTTCATATGTTTATTTGCTGTTCTACTTCTTTCTGAAAAATGTCTGTTCATTTCAGATGCCCATTTTTGGATTGGGTCTTTCAATTTGGGGGAGTCTGATTTTTTTAGTTCTTTATGTATTCGAGTTTTAATAATTAAAAAGTACAGACACATTATTGATACATGTTGGCATTACTAGTTGAAAGCAAAATTTGTAATATTAATCAAATATTTAAATTTGGATTTGATAGTTTTATTCTAAAAATTTATTCTAAAATTATCCTTGTACATGTAGACAAAGGTAAATGTTTAGAATTTTAACTGTTGCTATTTTTCTTTAGTCAAAAATTGGAGTCAATCTGCATGTGCATCAATAGTTGATTGGTTAAGTAAATGCATGATCACCCGTATAATGAATCGTTGCAGTATCAAGAGAACATGGCCAGTGCTGTTAATGAGGGGACAATGTAATGTCTACTGTGTAGAGGAGTGGTACTCTGCCATCAGATAATTTGGGTTTAATTTACCAGCTCTGCCATTGATTTGCTGGGTGAGCATGGGCAAGTTTTTTCATCTACAAAATGGGCAATAATAATAAAGTCTATTTCACAAAGTTGAGAGGATTACAACAGATAAAACAAGTTAGTCTTTTAGTATTTGTCACATAAAAATAGGTGACACATGTTATCACATTGACAACACATAAAGCAATATGTACAGACTAAAAAAGTGAGGGTTATGTGTACATGAATTATATAAAAAGTTTGGCAAGTATGCTCAAGTACTACTTACCATAGTTATTTCTACACTTTCATTGTATAATCTTTGTCATTTTTTCCATGTTCAAGTATTACTTTTACAATTTTCAAAATTATTTTAAGAAAAAAACCCATGTATATGATGAGGTTAATATCCAAAATATACAAAGAAATCAAACAATTTAATAGCAAAAAGCCATATAACCTGAATAGAAATGGACAAAGGACTTAACAGATATTTCCCAAAAGAAAATATAGAAATGGCCAACAGTCATAAAAAAAGTTGCTCAATATTACTAATCATTGGGGAAATGCAAACTAAAATTACAATAAGATATCACAGTATACCTGTTAGAATTATGGCTATCAAAAAGACAAACAAAATAAAAAGCATCAATGAGAATATGGAGAAGGGAAAATGGTTATATATATGTCAGTAAGTATGTTAACTGGAAAACAGTATGGACATTTCTCAAAAAATTAAAAATGAAAGTAGCATGTGATCCAGTAATCCCATTTCTGGGTGTTCACCGAAAGGAAGTGAATTCAAAATCTCAAGGAATTATCTGCACTCCTATGTACATTGTAGCATTATTCAAAATATCCAAGACAGCTGAGGATTTAGCTCAGTGGTTCCACCACTTGCCTTGCAAGCACAAAGACCCAAGTTTGATCCCCGGTACCAAAAAAAAAAAAAAAAAAAAAGCCAAGATATAGAAATAGTCTATCCATAAAGTGTGTGTTGATGAATGAATGAATAAAGAAAATATGATAAACACAGATACACACTCTAGAATATTATTCAATTTAAAAAAACAACAAGAAATCTTTCTATTTGAGAAAATTTGGTTGAACTTGAAGGACATCATGTTAAGTGAAATCAGCGATACATAGAACAACAAATAATGCATGATCTCATTTACACATAGAATCTAAAAAATGTCAGCTCATAAAAGCAGGCCATTATTGCTAGGGCCTGGGTGAATGGTGCCCATGGAGAATACTGTCAAAGGGTTCAAAGATTTAGTTGTGTGGAATTAATAAGTTCTGGAATTTGACTGTACAGTACAGTTACTGAATAATAGAATTTGCTAAGATTGTTGATCTTAAGTGTTCTCATCATGAATATGGTAATTATTTGAAGCAATGGATGTCTTAATAGTAATGTATTTTATAATTAATAACCATTTCACAGTGTAAACATATACCAAAATATCACATTATACACCTTAAATTAAATATTGTGCAACTGTTACAGTGAAGTTAGAGTTTGAACATATAATTTATAATCAAGTAATTACAGTGTGTTCATTATTGGGGACTCTTGTTTTAAAATTTCGACTTACTATAAGAGTTTTCTTTAGAAGAGTTTCCTTATCTTTTTTAAAAAATAGAAGAATTTGGGGAGATTTTTGTTCCTTTTATTTTGTGTTATGTGATTACTACAATTTTTACATAATCAAGTGAAATGATGACTTTTCTTTCAATGCCACTGAAATCTAACATTTTTTTAATCTATACCCTCGCTTTTTAAAAACCAGCCAATTATTTAAAAAGAAAATCACTAGTCATGTAAAATTGGTGCTGCTAGAACTTCAACATTTCCAGGTTCATTTGGACCTCCCTCAATGATGTTTGACATAATTCTAAGTTGTCATTGATGTATTTCCCCATACTTCCACCAGGGAATGAGTCCATATGTACATCACTTTCCACATTGTCATGTATCCTTGACACACTCAACTTTCATCAGGGAAGCTCACTTTGCCTCCTATTTGAAAAGAAATATAGAGCCTTCCTGATTTGAATTTTGTTTGTTTGGTTTTTTCATTGTTGTTGTTCTTTGGTACTGGGGATCAAACTTGGGACCTTGTGCTTGGGAGGCAGGCAGTGGAACCACTGAGCTAAATCCCTGGCCCCTAATTTGAATTCTTTTGATGTGCTGTTTTCCCTTTCCTCAACTCCAACACTGTGACTGCCCCCTTCTTTTTTATTCCCTTCCAGTTTCATAAGAAGCCCTCCATCTTCCTGTCTAAAACTAATCCCTTTATATTTCTACCCTTGAGAGCACCAGGTGGTTATATTTCATTTAAATTAAAAATATAAAAGGCTTTCTTTTAACGTGGATTGACTAAAGGAAGGGCCAATTATATCATGAAGGTAAATATACAAAAGCCTAAATAGTTGGATATATGAGTTTAAATCTCAATTACAGTGTAACCACACTTATATGGAGCACCTAGAGAAAAGTGTTGGTGGAAATTGAGACTGTAAAGAATAGAAAAATATCGTCTAATAATCATCTTTATTTTTCAGTAATTCATAATTTTGTGCATAAAGATTTCACAATATGTTGAAAAAGATCCACTTACAATTTCATACTGTCTAAATAGATATTAAATGATCATTGATTCTCTTTGTTTTTTTAAGGTATTAAAATGGATTATAAAGAGCAAGAAAAGAGGAAGACAAGAAAAATCAGCTAGATAAATTGTATTTCACTCTTGCTTAAAGTTGCTCTTATTTTTTGGACGTTGAACTCTTACATTGTATACGTTAGAATTCTAGCACCTCATGAAGTTCAAGTACATGTGAGCAGGGAGAATGACTAAAACAGTTGCAACAATTTGGGTTGTTCTTACCTCTGTGTGTACTTTTAATAACTTCCCTATCAAAAAAACACAAAAAAATAACTTCCTCTCCTGCTAATCGTGTTCCTTAGCAAATCTCTCCTAATCTAAAATTTCCCCTTGAAATACTGATTTGTAACTTAATGCTTCTTTTTGAAAGAGCACGAGGGTTAAAGACTGATATTACCCGTTCAGAGATCACTGTACTTTGAATATTTACCTAGTGTTTGCCTTCTATCAGAGAACCATCTGTGACGGAGTCAATACCAGAAGAGGAGGAAATCCAGCAGTGGCTGAGGTTGCGCTCCAACTGGGAGAACGTCAGTGGGACCACTGTACACAAACTGCTGGTACCTGGGTAAGAACTATTCCATAAGAGCTCTGTGAAGTCAAATTGTGCAGCAAGAGTTTATCAGCAGCGCCTTCCTTCTGTTCTTTAACATAAGATAATCCAAATTCCTTACATCAATAAAGAACTGGAATGGCTGTTGGTTTTTACATTTCAACAATGGTTTATTTCATCTTAGTTGACATGGATTTTTTCTTTTGGCTAATTACATCTTTCTTTGATCATAATTACAGAAAATATCATGGTTAGAAGAAGGAGCCTGTCTTCTAATCTTGGAGTTTTTTCATAACCTATTTAAAATAAAGTGTCATTCATGTCTAACTTTCCTATAGATACTACATGGAGTTAGTAGAGGAAATTGAAGTAATTTTAACTAAAAGCTTGGAAAGTCCAAGAACAGAATAGACACAAAATAAAATTATAATCATGTAGGCTTGAAAGTACAAGGTTTCTCCCTCAAAATCATGGCATCATAACCAGATGTGGTGGTGTTCACCTGTCATCTCAGCACTCTGGGGGCTCAGGCAAGAGGATTGTCGAGTTTGAGTCCAGCTAAAAGGAAGTAGAAGGAACATGTTTAGAGGTGAATTTTTTTAATCTGAGAGATTTAAGATTCTGAGCACATCACACTAGTTTTACAAGTCTCAAAGTACTTTTTTCACTTTCAATTACATTGTGAATAACTGTTTCATGGTTGGAAAAAGAATTTAGTGATTAAAATTTAACCAATCTGAATTCTCTTGCACAACCACACTGAGAGATCCTTAAACACAGACCATGTTCTTACCTTCAAAGTTCCCTGAGATTTAAAAAAAAATTCTTCCTTTCCTGAATCACACTCCCTGTAATTTCTATATATTAGTTCCACTCATGCCATCTAGAGTTATATGGAATCAATTTAATTCCTCTTTCCTCTTGCCAACTCCTCATATACCCACAATTTAACCCTGACAGTTTTGGGTAAGATTTTTCTGATCTCAATATTCCATTCCTTTCTCTGTTCTTTAAATTTTTAAAGTAATATTTTGTTTTTCTTAGTCTATTTCTTAATTTTGGGAAGGGGGCATTTCCTTCTCCATAAGCACAACAATTTGACATGCTCTGTCCTTACCAAAGATTCTAAGAAGCAGCCTAATGCCGCACCCTTTTCCTACCTTATGAATCATAGTTTATGGGCAGTCTCATTAGTCAAGATGATGCAGAAGTATTTTTATAATAATTTCTCTTTCTGCAAATATGAAATTATATTATGATGATATTAAATAAACTAAAATAAATAAAAGTACAATATCTCTATATGCCTCCAAAGAGATATCTGACAACAGTTCTGCCTTGGGAAATCCTATAACAAGAATATTTATTTCTCAAAGATTATGACTTCCCCTAACAGTTGCATCTATGTCTTACCTTTCCTCGGCAAAATGTTTGAAGTGAATAAGAAATATGTGACTCGGTGTCATGCCATTTTATGTTTCCAATTCTAGGCAGTCTTGTCCCAGCAGAAATAAGATCTCTCTTCTGTGTACTAAAGAAGGTGAGAAAATTGGTGGGGTAACAGTGGGATAGGAGCTTAATGGAAAATGATCACTTGTATGTGAAGAGCTAAGCATTTGGTTGGGGTGAGCTGGGGTTGTTGGTAATTCACAAGCTGCACCTCCTGCTTCTTGGCAGACTGCGGGCGTCGCCCTGCTGCCCGAATGAACAAGAGGATCCTCGGGGGTCGCACAAGTCGCCCTGGAAGGTGGCCTTGGCAGTGCTCTCTGCAGAGCGAGCCCAGTGGACACATCTGTGGCTGTGTCCTCATTGCCAAGAAGTGGGTTCTGACCGTTGCCCATTGTTTTGAGGGGTAAGCTACACCTTTTCCTTCCTCCTTCCTTCCTTCTTTCTTTTTACTTTCCAAGATCTGATTATTTTGTGACTTGATAATTCTCAGCGGCACAGGTATCTCCTTCCAGTTTTTAATATTTTTCCCCAGTTTTTATATTTTCTTAGTGTATGTTTATGCTACATAGTGATTATATCCATTGTGCTGAATTGGTGCATATACATAAAAGATCTCAATTTCATTTATCCTCTTTCTGTCTCCATCTTCCCTCTTCTTCTATCTGCCCATCCCTTTCCACTTGAAAATGATCTCCCTACTTTCCACTATCTATCTTTTTATGGGGGGGGCTACTGGGGATCAAACTTGGGACCTTGCACTTGCAAGGCAGGTGGCAGAACCACTGAGCTAAATCCCCAGCCCTATTATCTATCTTTTATTTTGCTCTTTATATTTTAGATTTCTCATATAAGAGAAACCATGTGATATTTAAATTTCCATGTCTGATTTATTTCACTTAATATGGTCTCAAGGTGCATAAATTTACCTATGAATGACTCAAGTTTATCCTTCTTTATGGCAGAGTAATACCCCACTGTGTATAAATACCACAGTTTCTGTATCCACTTATCTGTTGATGGGCATATAGCCGTTTCCAAGATTTAGCTATTATGAATTGTGCTGTTATAAACATGGGCATGCACGTATCACTTTAATATGACGTCTTTAACTCTTTCAAGAAGATATATAGAGGGGCAAAAGTTGGATGAAATGGAATTCCTAGTTTTAGTTTTCTGAAGCATCTCCATACTGAGATTTCGATAGTGGTTATATGAGTTGGCATCCCTATCACCAGTGTAGAAGGGTTCCTTTTCCTGTGAAGCCTTGCCAGCATTTGTTATTATTTGATGATGGCCAGTCTTTCCAAAATAAAATGGAATTTCAGTGTTGTTTTAATTTTCATTTTCCTAGTGGTCAGGAATAATGATTATTTTTTATGTATTTATTGGCCATTTGTTTTTTTTGAAAAGTATCCATTCATTTCATTACCCATTTTTGATTGTCTTTTATTTTGGGAGCTCTATATTTTGAGTTATTGAAATATTTTAGCTATTAGTTGTCGAGTAACAGCTTACAAAAATCTTTCCCATTCTGCAGGCTGTCTCTTCACTCTGTTGTTTGTTTCCTTTGCTGTCCTGAAACTTTTTAATTTGATATGATCCCATTTGTTGATTATTGATACTCTTTTGCCATTGGTGTTCTGTTCATAAAGTTTTTGCCTATGCCTATGTCTTTAAGAGTTTTGTCTATTTTATCTTCCAGCAGATAAAGTGTTTCTGCTTTAGCATTTACATCTGTGAGCTACTTTTTACTTTAATTTAGTACATGGTAAGATATACCTAGATTCAATCTTCTACATGTTTTCCCAGCAACAATACTTTTATCTGTAGATAATTTTCTATCCATCTCTGGCATTATCATCCTCTATATATGCTGTCAGTGACTGTCAATGAATATATAGTGCTTAGGATTTATGTCCTAAGTAGGGAGGAAAAACAAGAAGTTTTGGAGATTGACTCCCCAGCCAGAATTAGTTTTTTTTCCTTTTTTTTTGGTACCAGGGATCGAACTCAGGACCTTGTGCTTGTGAGGCAGGTGCCGGAACCACTGAGCTAAATCCCCAGCCCTAGTTTCTTTTCTTGACTTCTTAAGTATATTACATGCATATGAATTTAGACAGAGGTGATATATTTGGGTAATACCATGAGATTCATATGCAGGAACAAATGGGATTTGGTTTGGGAATGTTTTGATACTGATATCTGTATGAATTAGATTTCTTCCACAGAACAGAACAAACTCTACATCCTATCAGTTACTACCTCACCGAGTCGGTGTGGGTGTGAGGTGAGATGGGTTATGGAAAGCCTTAAGAGCCATGCCTGGTATCAATCATTAGGATCTTGGTAAATGTAAATGTTTCTTTTTGAAAAAACATTGCTAAAAACATACATTCTACATTTCCCTCTAGCATTATGATATGAGTACTTTTGCATTTTGCTGGCACTATTTATCTCCTTCCACAGTTTCTTTTCTTTACTTCCTCGTCATCCTAAAGCCTAACCCCTGTTGTAGCCTGGTGAACACAATTCCTCCACGGTTATGACCTCATTTGTTTTTCATGGGGTATCATTGTCTATTTTTACCATTTGAAACTCTACTGTCTACTTTGGTTTGTTGGTTGCTTTCCTCATGTGGCAGGTCTCCAGGTCAATTTATACAGCTCTAGCTCATTCTTTTTGAAAGCTAAATAATATTCTATAGTTTAAATTTACTACAACTTTTTCTGTTGTCCTCCATTTGACAGACAATTGGGTTAGTGTCATTTTGCTGTTATTTTAACATACTGCCATAAACCTTTTTATATAAAGCTATTCACCTACTGTACTAAAAGACAGCAACTGAGATACGTTTTGTTTCTAGAGGTTAGAGATGTACATTTAATCCTATATGCGGATTACAGAGATGGACACTTGCATTGTTCCTTGAGGTGCCAGCCTAGTGAGCACACAGACATTTAAACAAGGAATCAGAATACAATGTGATAAATGAGAATAAAATGGAAATGTGTATACCCAGTTATTTTGATTGCTCTTTTGGAAAAATAATATATAAAAATCTAACAAGTACTCTTATGGGTATTTCTAATGTTTAAGACCAGAATGACCGGAAGAGTCTGTTTAGTATGTCAAGAAATACACTGCAGTGTTATTGCTTTGGAAGGGGCCAGATGTTTCCAGATGTCTTTTACAGTTCTGACTTGTAACTCCACGATAAGCAGAAGATTATGTTAGCAAAAGCTCATTCATCAAAAGGGGATTACCTAAATGAATCCAACCGATCTGTAAGGGAACAACATTTTTTATGTGTGAGTTAATCCAAGTTCATATGCCGCTTCTGTCATTTCCATATGTGGAACCAAAGTTTCCTCTTTCACTGACAGGTCTATGAAGCTAAGGAGGAACCTTGCGAAATATGTGTTTATAATTAAGGAAATGGGTATATCAAAGACCTTGATCAAATTTCATGAAACACTAAACTTCACTGTCAAGAGGGCCCTGTGTAGTCATACAATGTTAGAAATTGCCTAACTTTAAACAAGCCTTTGCTTGAATGTATGCTAATAAAATCAGTTCCATTTTACAATCTCTCCAGTGGCACCGCAAGTCTTTCAGAACTTTTAATTGTAAGGCTTACTCTCTGTTGGGGCCATCAAATGCTGCAGTTAATGGGGTTTGCTTCATATCCTGATGCCATGCTTTGGCAAGGCTCAGCATGTCCCATCTGTAGGTCTTCTCAGCCTGTCTCTTTTAATTGTATTGGTGGAAAAAAGACAATTTGTTTTACTCTTCCATGGAGAGGCACTTAAAAATACCAAGTGAAAATTAAAAACATGAGATACTAAGCTGACCAGATCAAGTCTCATCTGCTTTGATAACAGTGCCACCTCTATAACTCTAAGAAGAAAGACTGACTTTCAGGAGTAATTTAACAAGCAATTTCTTTGCTTTCTTTCACCTCTGAAAGACTGAAGGAGGAATTTTCTAAGCTGGCACATGACTTGTAATGGTCAGCAGCACCTAATTCCTTTCCAGGAAACCTGTGTGAAAAACTTATTCTGCTAGGAGACCATAACCCTTAACCCTGCCATATCACCATGTTTTGATTTCTACTGCACCTCCATTCTCCCATTAGCTCAGACCATTGGTCTTTTTCTCACTTCCTTTCTTTCCCCAGCTGACCTGATTGTCTGGGTTCATCACTTTAGTCCCTTCACCAGACCTTCAGTGCTTTCACTCATGGATCTTTCTTCCAGAGACACCAGGAAGTCTTTTCAAAGACTTTAACATCTAAAACAATCATTTTTAGTTTGCACCAGTTTCTCCATTTTTTCTGGAACATTCCTTTCTGCAATTATACCTTCACATGACTGACATGAGCCCCCTTTTCTCAACATTGCTTCCATCTTCAGCTATTGCTCCCTTTATGCTACCATTCATGCCAAAACTCCTGAAACTGTCCTAACACCACTGTCTCCTCTTTTCCACATAACATTTGCTCCTTCACTCATTCTGGTGTAGCTCTCACCAAGGTCAGTACGGAAAGGACACTTACTAAAGTCTCTTAACTGCTTTCATCTTGCCAAATCCAATGGTGACTTTTCAGTTTTCAACTCACTGGAATTTTTCCCAGTATTTAATCACCACATCCTTTTGAAAAACTTTCCTAACCTGGCTTCTAGAATAATGAAAGATCTTTCTCTTCTTCCAGGTCCTCCTTTTTGTAGATCGCTGTGTTCTCCAGGGTGCAATTCCTGGCTTTCTCATCTGGCTTTCCTCAGTGATCCAATTATGTGGTTTCAAATATTTGTTCATAGTTGAGCAAATATCAATGTCAAGTATTGATTCATATGTGACTATAAGATAATTTTTAAAAGATTTTAAAATTTAAATGTCCAGTCCAGCCTGGATTTATAACTAATCACTAACATCATTACCAACTTCAAACATTTATATTGACGCTTTGATGAGATGTTCATTAAAATGTATAGTAAACATCCTACTTTGCATTATCAAAATAAAAACCATTGATTTCTCCTTTTTCATGGATCAAATAATTGTATACCTCACCAACTTTGCAGTGCTGATAAGTATTTGTTAACTGAAGAACCAGCCCCTTCTTGGTGTTTCTTAATAATCACATCTTTAGTTCTTTCACAAGTTGAGATTATAGCAGTCTAGAACTAGAAATGTTAATTCATCTACAAAGGGTCACTGCTTTCTCACCAATTCCTCCCATTTTGGACTACACAACAGCCAAATGTTTCAATGTACAAAGCATCTGTACATACTTTTTAATTACATAGAAGGTGAATCTTCTGAATAGTGTCTGAAAATCATTCTTCTTGAGTGGAGTAATTGAAAGCAAAGCAAACTTTAAATAGTTCTGCTTTGTTTTGGTTC